CTCTCTCTTCTACTCTCTCTAAAAAAATCAGTGGGAAAATATCCTTGGGCAATGATTAACAACAACAAAAGTTAACCACCTGTGATGTATTCACCGAGTAATCAGGATAGACAGCACCTGTAGTGGCAGAGCCTGTCCAGACAGAGAATCCCTGCTGTGCCGGCATACCCTCATGTAATGTCTGCGTGAGGGGTCGGGTACTGTTGGGCTAAATTAGCCGCTAACTCAATGGGCTCAGAGCAACAGCCATTGACCAACTAGCAAATATTTACAACCTGTGCAGGCATGGGTACTAGGTGACTATCAGCCCAGGCTGTGAGAGAATCTGATCGGCTCAGCTTGGATCAGGTGTCTGTTCCTAGCCAATCAGCTATGGCCAAGAGAGCCACTCATGGCTAGGGATCCACCTTGTGTAGAACTGTGACTCCCGGACAAGAGGATGTTACTGTGAGCCAGGCAAATGCTCCAGAGGTGATCATCCTCATTTCAAGGATGAAGGAGGGAGGGGCTTAGAGAGGGGGACTGCTGGCCTAAAATCACTCAGAGAATCACTCCACTGTCCCACCATCACTCAGAACCAAGATGGTGTCTATTGGAGATGGAGGGACCACTCTGAGGCCCTAAGGGTTGACCCAGGAATCACCGGAGTATTCTCTATCTCCTCCCCAGACCTGTTCATCGAGAGGTTCTGCATGACAGGTGGGAATAGCCCCATCTGCTACCTCAAGGCCTATCACACCAACCTCTACTTGTCAGCTGATGCAGAAAAAGTTCGAGAAGCCATTGATCAAGGTGAGTCAAACTGGGGAGGGAGAATATGGGGAGTCTGGCAAAGGGATCCCAGAAGGGGAGGCCTTTAGACTTCATCTTAAAGCTCTGAGCAGGTGCTAGTGGTTGCCATGGTAACTGGAAGAGGGGTATCTTTTGTAATTCCTATGACCTGTCAAATAAATCTGAGAACAAGGCCCCCCTATTCATTATTGCCCATCTAATCCACTCTTCCACCCCCCGCCCTACCATGTTAAGGATGCTTTTACTCATCACCATCACCCAGGCTTCTGTTGCCATGGAAACCCTCCTTTCAGCCCAGAAAGCTACTCCTTTCTAGGAATCCTCCAGGTCAGTAGGAGTTCTGATTCCTGTGTGACTGTGGGCAGCTTCTGACCCTGTCTGGGCCAATGGGGAGGAAGATAAGTCTCTAGTCCAGCGTGGGCAATGAGTGGGGTCTGGGAAATGGCCAGCATTCCAGCAGCTGAAGTGAGGTCAGGAGACCCAGCCACAAGTACTGACAAAGAGAACTGCCCTCCATGTGTCTCTTTCAAGGGTCAGTTTTGGGTGGTAGACCCAGCCTTGGTCCTCCAACAGGGTATGTATTCCTATTGCACATAGAAGAAAACAGGCTGGCAGGCCCCATTTCCTGAGAGGGCTCCTCAGGCTCAGCACTACTGGAAGGTTTGTCCATCAACAGTGTATTCACTCTTCTCCATCATGCTGTCTCCTGCCTACAAGCTTGGCCTCTCTCTCCCTGGCGCCTCCTCTCTGAGCTGCTGGGGCCTCTGGGAGGCTATCTTTAACCAGGAGCCAGAAGCTATTTCCCTACACAGATGTCACACCCCCTGGTCGGGGCCTGGACACGGGCCTGCATGTGTGCCTCTATATGTCTGCAATTTGAGCTCAGGCTGGAGAGCAAGGGGTGGCAGGGGCAGGCCCTGCCCAGGGTGGGGTGGTTCGGGTTCATCTTGGCTCCATCATTGGCAGAGCTGAGTAGGTGCCTGGACTGATGCCCAGGGCCTGGTCCTACAAATAACATCCTCAGGCTAGCAAAGTTGACACTGCTCGCCTCTCCCAAATCTCTGCCCAAGCCCAGCCCCTGTGATCCCAGATTCCTGAAGAGCAGGGCCGAGTGGCCTTCGGAGAGATGAAGAAGAAGGAATGGGCTGAGCTGCTGACCAGGTCTCCAGCCTCTAGCCCTGGCTCTCTTGTCCAGTGTAGCCCTAGCCTGGAGCCTGGGTTTCCCACAGGCTAGGAGAGGCCCAGGGTTGCAGAGAGTCTGTGCCACAGTCCCTGGAATTATTGCTGCCTCTCATGGCCACCCACCTTGCTTCAAGGAACCCAGAGTGGCCAGGCTGCCTTGAGAAGGGCATACCTGGGTTCCCTTGTGGCAGAAGACTGAGGGGGTGCCCACCCCGACTCCACCCCCGACGGCAGCCTGGGATCTCAGCCCCAGACAGAGCTGAAACATCCCTCATTTTACCTTGCCTCAGAGCAGGTGAGAGGCTTGCTGGAATCAACAGCAAGAGAGCGAGGCCAAGCCAGAGCAGGGCCCCTTCCCAGCCCCCCTGTAGGCCTATATTAGGGGCTGTGAATAACTCCGGGAAGGATATCAGTGGCCTGGGGGACCCTCCCTTCCAGCCAGGACATTCCGATGGTCCGTACCAGCATGACCTTACTAGACAATAAAGCATTGTCATCCCTCCACACTGATTGATAAATGGCTCTTGTCCTGAGTCCTGTAAGTGCCCCACCCTGCTTCCTGGGACTCCCCCAGACCTTCCCACAAAGCAGCAACTAAAGGGAAACTCGGCTCAGGCCAGGGCCCTCAGAGCAAAGGCCACCGTCCATTCTGATTGGCCAGGTGTTAAATATTCTGAATGTTAGCCCTCATTAGCTTTGCTCTGAGTCCTGGGAGAGGCAGGTGGGACAAGAATAGCCGGAGCTGCCCTAGCTGGTTTGGCTCAGTGGATAAAGCGTCAACCTGCAGACTGAAGGGTCCCAGGTTCGATTCCGGTCAGGGGCAGATGCCCGGGTTGTAGGCTCGATCCCCAGGAGGGGGGCGTGCAGGAGGCAGCTGATGGGTGATTCTCATCATTGATATTTCTACCCCTCTGTCCCTCTCCCTTCCTCTCTGAAATCAATATATACATATTTTTAAGAATAGCTTGAGCTAGCCCTCTCCTGGCCCCAGCAGCTGAGGCAGGCATCAGGGGGCCCCTCTTGCCAGGATAAAGGCAGACAACCTTTGCCTCTCTCTGCCCAGGGATCGCAGCCGCCACCATCTTCAGCCCCAGCAGGGACATGGCTGTGTCCCAGAGCCAGCTGCGCGTGGCCTTCGACGGGGACGCTGTGCTCTTCTCGGACGAGTCGGAGCGCATTGTCAAGGCCCACGGGCTGGACAGGTTCTTCGAGCATGAGAAGGCCCATGAGAACAAACCCTTGGCCCAGGTGCTTCACAAACTCCCCAGAGCCCCTGAGTGGAGCCAGGTGGCTCCGCAGAACCTGCCCTTGGCTGGAACCAAACTCTGAGCTTGGCCCAGAACCCAGCCAGGTCCCCTCACCAAGCCTCCCGCCTTCATCCCTCTCACCTGAGCCCTGGCACCTCAGTGAGCGTCTACCCTCCCACTGAGCCCCTGTTCCCCTCACTGCAGTCCCATCCTCTCTCTAAGCCCCTCTCGGAAGCCCCTACCTCTCCTTTGCTGCTCGTAGCTGAGGTCTTCATCCCCTTCTGGAAGTCGCCATCCCTCTCTGAGGTCTCCATCCCTCCTCTAAAGTCCCCATCGCACTCGGAACGCCTCACCTCTCCCTCTGACTCCGCCATCCTCTCTCTGGAACCCCCATTCCCTCTCTGAGGCTCCCCCGCCCTCTGAGTAGGCTCCCCTACCCCCCTCACTGGAGGAAAGGAAACGCTGGGCTGGGCCAGGGAGATCCACTGGGTGTGGGGTCTGGAGCGGCCCCTCTGCTTTGGGCCACACCAGCCCTAACCACCTCCTGCCACCCACCCCTTGGCAAGGGGCTCAGGGACCCTCACTCACTGTCTAACTGCTCAGGTGTCTCCCTGAGAGCAGAATAGGCCCTAAAGCCTTGTTGAAATTCCTTGGGGCCGGAGCTGTTGGGATTCCCTAGTCCTCCTGGGAGCTCCTATTTGTGCTTTTAACAAAAATCCACATCATCCCAGAGTCCCTCTCTCCGATTGCTCAGCAGGCTCCAGCCATGGCCCCTGGACATTCATCCCACCTCCATTCTCACCAGTTCCCTCCAAAACCCTTGGGAATCAGGGCAGGACAGTCTTCCCACCAAGTGGTAGGCAGAGCCGGAGACCACTGCTGGCTCCAGCCACCCATAGGCGAGGGGTCTCCAAGAGTGGCAGCCCACCGGTCCTTATTTCCAGCTGCTGCTGTGCTTTTCTTCTCTACCACCCTCTGGTTCTTTATTCACTGTCCTCATTCATCGTTCCCGGCCATGTAGAGAGCAAATCCTTTCCCTGACCCTATAGACACAGAGCATGGCGCCCCGAGCCAGCTGCACGTTGGTCTGTCTGTCCGTGTTGTTTGCAGCTGGACTCCATTCTGCCTGGAGGGTGCCCAGGCTGTGGTTGCTAAATATTTCTAATATCCTCCCTGCTGGTGAGCACAGAAGGTCATACTATGGAGCTGTAGGACAGACACCCATGTACCCGAGGGGCACAGAGAAGGACATACATAGGAACAGCTCTCCTGGCACATTTTTCTGGCACAGTCACCCCCAATCACAGCGGCACAGATACCCACACCGCCGTAGGTAGCTGCAGTCCCACTGATGCGCACAGTGACCTGAGCAGGCATAGCAGGACCGGGAGCTGTGGGGACCTTGAGATGCTTCCCCACCCCAAACATCAAGACACGAGTGCTTCAGGGAGGAGCCCAGCTGGAGAGGGGGCCCAGGTCTGGGAGAGGGGTGAGCTCACAGTCTCCCCTTGCCTTCTCGTAGGGACCCCTAAAGGGCTTTCTGGAGGCCCTGGGTAGGCTGCAGAAGAAATTCTACTCCAAGGGCCTGCGGCTGGAGTGCCCGATCCGCACCTACTTGGTGACGGCACGCAGCGCAGCCAGTTCTGGGGCCCGAGCGCTCAAGACCCTGCGCAGCTGGGGCCTGGAGACAGATGAAGCCCTGTTCCTTGCGGGCGCGCCCAAGGGACCCCTCCTGGAGAAGATCCGCCCTCACATCTTCTTTGACGACCAGATGTTCCATGTGGCTGGGGCTCAGGAGATGGGCACAGTGGCTGCCCATGTGCCCTACGGGGTGGCACAGACGCCCCGGCGGACTGCGCCTGCGAAGCAGGCCCCAGCTGCACAGTAGCTGAGCCCACAGTGCTCCAGGCACAGCTCCCCGTCACCCTCCCACATGCCGTCCACTGGACCCTTCTCGGCCTACCGCACTGCCTCGCTTCATGTCTGCCCTCATCCCTGGGAGGGAGGCGCTGGTACGCAACTCTGCAGACTGGGCCGGCATCTCACCAGCCCTCACTCGGGGCCGACACTGTGCCATGATGCTGCCTAGGACACTAAGGCCGTGGCTGGATTTCAGGGGGGGTTGATGGAGGGTCAGAGGAGCCAGGATGCCTCAAAAGGGCTTCGGGGTGAAAGCCAGCCCAGTGTCGTGCCAAGAACTCTGCTTTGAGGGAGAAGAGATCTGGCCTCTAAGCTCGATCCTGGCATTCACGGCAGAACTTTGAGCGAGTCCCTCCCTTTCATGGGGTTCAGGTTCCCCATCTTTTAGGTGGTTTTCAAAATCGCCTTCAGCTAAAGAACTTGGTTTTCTAAGGTTGCCCTCTTTAAAGGAAGCATTCTGTGCCAGGGCTGCCACCGGTCTACACGCCCCTTTCGCAGGTTATGGAAGGAGGCTACAATGAATTATGAAAAGAAGGCCCTTCCTCTGGGCTGGCCACTCCCACGCGGGGTACACAGTTACATTAGCAGGACATAAGCGGGATGTCAGCCCCCATTGGCTCCTCAGCCCAGAGGCCTTTGTCAACTGGGCAAAGTGCACAATCGTCCACAGCAACCCTACCTATAATTTTACACATTTGTAAACCACTGGACAAGATGACCCATTTGCTTCAGGGGATCCTCTCATCTGAGTCATCGGGGGCAGCTGCCAGGCCTGCCCCATCTGGGAAAGGAATGGGGGAGTGAATTACACCTGCATGCAAACTCTGGTGTAGCCAGCAGGGGGCACTGCAGGCACTTCCTGGGGAGCCGCTTTAGTAGCCGCCTGCCCACTGCTTCCTTTGCTTTTGCTCTTCGCCAAAGTTCACTTGTTCCCACCTGCCAACCCCTTCACCTCAACCCTCACTCCTCAATTATTGCATCCTGCTGTGTCGCCAAGCAGCCCTGCCTGTAGGGAGCATTGGGGTTTACTGTGTGGGCCCAGGGGAAGAGAGCTCAGTGGCTCAAGGGGGAGGCTGTCCAGGCTGAGATGATGTGGGATGTGTGAGGAGGTCTGGTCTGCGGCAGTGACCCATTAGAGAGGAAGGAGCTGAAATTGCACTGGAAGATTCCCCCGCTGTGGGAGTGTGAGTGGAGGTAATGAGCTCCCCGTCACTGGGATGCTGTGCAAGGGATGCCCTCTGAGGTACACCTGTGAACCTCCACCCTTGCAGGAGCTCCTGCAGCCCCTTTG